GAGCGAGAGAGATGCATCTGATACAATATACGAAGGCAGGGGTGACTAATTTCTGGATTCAGCTCTTGCGGTATCGAGCCCTGCTTTCTTTGCTTTCTGAAGCGGATTGAGAAGAGAGCCCAAACCGGATCCGCCCTCCTGCTGCGTGCCGGAACATGCCGGGGACCAGAGGCGCCATCGCGGCATCATCCCCCCATGTCTCTCTGTCATACTGGTTCCATGGGCCAGCTTCCCCAGATAGACCTGCGCACTGGACGGAAATGGAGGAGAAGCCGGAAGTGGGGTCCAAGCCAGAGATAGTGTTCTCATCGAAAAGACGAACATGGAGCTCGTTAAGTCGCCATGCTTGCAGGAGGGCTGAGAAAGCAATGTCAGTTCGACTGTACGCCAATATACGTCGGAATTTGCCAGCAATTGGACCTCACTTACGGCTTTTTCTCCATCTGCGTCCAGTGCGCAGGTCTATCTGGGGAAGCTGTCCCATGGAGCCAGTATGACAGAGAGACCTGGGGGAATGATCCCGCGATTGATGGTTCAAGATGGATAGTGAGGATGGGAGAAGGAAACAGAGAGGCAGAGGGAAGCGAAAGGCGGGTGGTGACCCCAGCGGTGATGAGTGGTTGTCGGAAAGAGTCGGACATTGGAACTTGTTGGGTGTGGGTGCACGTGCGTGGTGGTGGGGAGGGGCAAGGTCTTAGACTATTACATAATGCACACAGTACGTACCGCTGCTGCTGAGTACATGAACAAACAAAGTGAGTCTGGCGGAAACATCAACCGTATAGGGAGCAGAGCTTGGCAGACAGGCGAGAAGGATGCATATATATTTATATAAAATACAACAGACAGCAGAGGCGGCTACTTCTTCGATTTCTTGGTGGGGGCGGAGGCAGACTCGGCAGGATGCTCGTGCGCGAAGGAGAGGTTGGGGCGTCGGTGGACGACGGTGGGGCGCTGCGGAGAAGAGGAGGAAGCGGAAGAAGGGAAGTTGCCGACGGAGTGCATGGACTGCAGGGTCATGCAGTAGACGCCGTCTATCCTCTTCTCGAGAGGGCCGGACACGAAGACGTGTTGACCATTCTTGTAGGGCCAGTACGGCCATCTCGCCGTATCCGGCACCTCCACACGCCAGACGAAAGCCGCCGAGTCACCCTTCTTCCCCTGTGTTCAGGTTAGGCTTGGCATGTTCGATGGAAGGAACGCGTACCATGTAGGTCGTCCCGGTCACCTGGAACGAACGACTGGCCTCATCCTCCTCGCGCACGATCCCCAAGCACTGAACGTACCAGACGATCGGCGGAAGAAGGGACTCGTACATCGGATCTTCAATAAGGTCAGAAAGACACGGGTTTCTGGGTGTAGAGATACGTACCGGACGGAGGAAGAGTGTTTATGTGGGCCTCGGAGGCGGAGTGAAGGAGGAGGGCAGAAGAGGCGTCGCCATCGTGGGCGATGTCACCCGAGAAGTAAAAGAGGTCCCCAGGCTCGTGGTGGGAGTCGGGGGCGACCCAAGAGAGGATGTTGAGAGGGTTGTCGCCCTCGATGGTGTCCACAATGGACTTGAAGAGTTTGACGGCGGGGCGGTCCGAGTCGTCGATGGAATGTAAAAAGGCTGTTCCTTGACCTTGGGACCAGGTGTTGGGGACGGGAGCGACCATTATGGAAGGATGTTGGTGGTAGTATTCGATGTGGGAGTAGATGTGACGGTGAATGGGGCGTTTGAGAGCATGGTTTTATGGTCGTTGGGAAAGGGTGGTGGTGGAGAGTACATCGGGTGCGGGTGGGGTTGGAGATGCGGAGGTGAACGGGTTGAGAGGATTAACAGAACAGCAGATGAGGAGGACGCCGGGCAGATGAGGAAAGGAGGTCGATGTCGTACATCAAAGTCGGGAGTTTGTGTATCTACTCGGGGGAACTCGTATGTAACACAAAAACGACGGAATTCAATGGAAAGATCGGGACGCCATCGGTGAATACGGCAGTGTATGCATGGGAAAGAATGGCGCATTCGGTACAGTTCTATGACTATCGGTACAGTTCTATGACTATCGGTACAGTTCCATGACTATCGCTACAGTTTGATGACTATCGGTACAGTTCGATGACTATCGCTACAGTTTGATGACTATCGCTATGGTTCCATCAGCATCGCTACAACGGCATCATTAGACGTACCTGTTCGGATCATGCAAAGGTCTCTAAGGTGGAAGCTATAATGTCTCGATACACGACGTTGCGGGTATAGCCAGCACGTCCTTTCTCCGTGTCGTCCAGAAGGACTCTGACGCTGGCGGGTATTTTGGCTCTCGACAAAGCAACATACAGCTGGCCATGGGCAAAGAGGGGAAGTGAGAGATGGATGCCGACGATATCGAGCGATTGGCCTTGGGCTTTGTTGATTGTCATCGCGAAGGCCAAACGAACGGGAAACTGACGTCGACGGAAGACGAAGGGGAGGCCGGCATTGGCTGGAGAGAAGATGGTGACGCGGGGTATCAGACACATCTCTCCTGCATGGTCGCCAGTGACTATAACCGCCTGGATGACAT